AGGCATAGTGAAAATCGCCGTTGTCTCTTTGTAATCTCTGCCTACGCACCCACTGACTGCAGTCCGGATGAAGTGAAGGACGAGTTCTACCGTACACTGTCTAGCCTCCTCTCGAAAGCCAAATGTTCAGACCCACCTGATTGTTGCAGGTGATTTCAATGCCCAGGTGGGTAGGTTGAGTGAGTCAGAAAGGCACTTAGGTGGCACTTTTGGAGTCCTGGCTGCACGAACAGATGACGGTGATCGCCTACTACAACTGTACTCAGATAACCGCTTACTTCTAGCCAGCACAAATTTCAGACATAAAGAAAGACATTGTCTGACCTGGCGTCCACCGAGCTCAACTCAGCGATGGACACAGATAGACCACATTGCTATCAGTCATTGCTGGAGAGGATCGGTGGAAGACTGCCGCTCTTTCTGGAGTACGTACTTCGACAGCGATCATGCATTGGTCCGAGCACGTATATGCCTGCGTCTCCATTGACGTGGAAAAAAATTGGCAAAAAAACCACTACGAGTGCTGCTGGACAACGAAAACACCAAAGCCGTGTTCAGTGAGAAGTTGGTTAGGCAGTTATAGGAACAGAAGACTAACACTCATCCCGAAGTAGCTTCGTGCCATCTCCAGTTTGCTCTAAAAGCAGAACCGAAGACCGTAGTCAACTCCAAAAGAGTGGCTGAAAAGAGCCAATGGATATCAGCAGCTTCTTCCGAACTAATGGATGCACGTGAACGCATCCCTGTCTGCAGGCTCTGAGTACAAGGAAGAGCGAGAGCAACTAGAAAGTAGACTGATGAAAAGTCTGCGCAACGATCGCGAACAGTGTGGGCAGCGAAGGCTAAAGTAATGGAAAAGGTAGCGGCGATCGGTAACAGTAGACAGTTATTCAGATTTATTAAGGAAACTGGGGGGAAAAGATCAACAACAGTTAGTGAGGCTATAGAGGAGGAGGACGGATCTATGATTCACTCTCAGGGGAGACGACTGGAACGATGGGCAGAACACTTTGAGGAAAAGTTTAACTGGCCTCCAGCCACCATTGCGTTGCCCGCTATCCAGTCGGATCCTGAATGGGACACAGAGACAGGCCCCCAACACTAGAAGAAGTTGAGAAAGCGGTAGGTAACCTGAAACGAGGAAGGGCAGCACGACCAAACGGACTACCTGCTGAGGTATACAAGAATGGTGGTAGAGTGATTTTAGTCAGGTTAACGGAAGTGTTAGCTAGTATATGGGAATCAAACACGATCCCCTCCGACTGGTCCAAGTCACTCATTATCTCAGTCTTCAAGAAAGGCAAGAAGTCCTCTTGTGATAACCACAGAGGAATAAGCCTGACGAACATAGTGCCCAAGATCCTATATTCTATAAATGTTCAACATTTGAGTGGAGCTCAGGAACAGCCACAGGGAGAATACCAGGCAAACGGGCAGACTTTTGACCTGCATGCATGTGTATTGTTATTATTACTATTTGTCCCTTGGGTTCCTAATAAAACAAAGGGCTTCAGTAGCACGTCTCCATTGTACTCTGTTCTCTGCAGTCTTTTGAACCTGGCTCCACCACTGCCCACAAGCTTTCATTTCTTCCTCACATGACCTCCTCTATATCACCCCCGCCTCGGACGCCAAACTCGTTGTTTCCCCTATGGATTCCACTCCAGGGCCTGATCTGGCGCGTGATGTCTCCGATTAAACAATCCAGCTCAGAGAACACAATACAACCAAGATGTCTCCAAATGGTTTTCTCAGCGTATGTCCAGTTCAATCCATCTCCACTTTCTTCACATATTTGTTGGGCGATGGGTTCTTGGTTGATTCGTTGCCAGCCAACCAGAGTTCCTTGTTGCTTATTCTTATTATTCTGGACATCTGATCTCCATCTTCAGTAACGAGTGAGCGTAGGCGGCAGGTGTTGATGTGGTGTATGTCTGTAGTTTGTTGGAAATGCTTTTCGTGACGCGCCAAGTCTCTCAACCATCACATAGAAGCACTGACTTGACTGAGTTAGTGTTGAAAATCCGGATCTTGTTCACGCTTTATGCTGAGTGGGGTGGAGTGGAGTGGAGTAGATCTCCACACTGATTTCAGATGGATGAATGCCTGTCTTGCTGTCTTTCCGATCCTGGCTTTGACATCCTCATCTGTGCCTGTGCCACCTGTAGTTGAAACGATGCTGCCTGTCTAGGTAGGTGTAAGTGAAAGAGACAACTTCCTTTAGGTTTCTCCCGTTGATGGTGATCGGTGCCTTTTGTTGTTGTTGTTGTTGTTGTTAGTTGGGTATCTTCATCACCTCTGTCTTATCCACATTCACCTGAAGGAAGTCCCGTCTTGGCTGCCTTGCCCTTCTGCCAACTTGTCTGTCTTCACTTCAAAGGCGTCACTGAGTTTTCCATTGTGAATCACTTTGCATGTGGTTTGTGGCACTAAAACCGTAGTGTTGAAGCAGCTGCCGAATTACTTCTCGGTCGACTCTGTCGAAGGCCTTCCCAAAGTCGATAAAGTTGAGGTTGAGTTGAGTTGACTGCCATTCTGTGCCCTGTTCTATGATGATGGGTGGGGTAGTGTAACAATTTGATCCGCACATGATTTGTACTTCCTGAATCCGGCCAGCCTGTTCCTGTCGTAATCTAGTTGAGTCCAGCGCATCCTTTAGTCACTCCAGGATGATGCGGTTTATTATTTTGCTTGGGGTGGACAGGAGCATGATTTCGCGCAGTTCTTGTAAAGAGTTAGGTCACCTTTTTTCGGGAGTTTGAGAAGATAACCCTTCTTCCAATCGCCAGGTACCTTCACTTCCTTCCAGACCTTCTGCAATAGTGGTGTGAGCATGTCCGCTCTTGTCCGTGCGTCTGCTCTCAATGCTTCTGGAGGGATTCCAACTGGTCCTGCTTCTTTCCTGCATTTTAGCGCTCAGGACTTCGACCTCTGTTGGAGGATTTGTGTTTACTAGTAGTTCTGTGGCTGGGCTGCTGGTGGTTTTTCTGGACGAAGTGCAGGTCGTGGCGGTGGTCGATTCAAGAACTTTTGTGAAGTGGTCAGACCATTTTCTCCTTTGTTTCTACTCTTTGGTATCTAGGTTCAACTCACTATCTCTTTGTCTGATTTGATCTCTTCCCAGATAGTAACTTGGTCATTTTATGTAATGTTTTCAGGTCTCTCCTACCTGTAGCCTGTTCTGCTACAATTGCCAATATGTCGTAGAAGTGTGTTTTGTCTTTGTGTGCACTCTCCTTCATTTCTTTGTCTAGTGTTTTATACATTGTACTCAGTTCCTTTTCTCGTTCTGCATCCTTGCACTGGTTTATCTTCCGCTTCACCATCTTCCTTTTCCTCCTCTATCAGCTTCCATGTGGAAATCCGTCGAGATCCATTCCTTATCTTCTTTCTTCTTCCTTCCTTCTTACACGATTATACAGGTTTCTTCCCACATAGCTTTCAAAGAGTTCCAGTGTCCACCCACAGAGGTTTCTCCAGGGATGTTCCTGGATATCTCCCATTTTATCTTGATGGCTGTCGTGAAGATGTCCTTTGTAGTTTCGTTCTTTAGTTTCCGCTCTGGATGTTCAACTTGAACTGTGGCCTATCACCAACTTCTTTGAACCTCTAAACTTGATTTGTAAGGTGTGTTCCTAGCACTAGATAGCCTGGTGGTGTGAACTTTATATTTCTTTCGACTGGATTTTCTTATCTTCACCTTCCACTACACTGCCTTTTTACTTGATGTACTGATATGAGGTGTGGCAACTCGGACGGTAAGGCAGTAATGCCTGGTCTTATGTTGATGTTGATATACAGTTAAATTTTCAGACGGCATGGTTTTGAGCGGCAAATTAGCTAGCAATATCAAAAAAAAACTGCAAATCTACCCATACGTCAATATGTGCAAAAGTGTAGAGCGACCTTATCACTATTGTAGTAGTTCAACCGCAAAGTATCACAGACTTCCTCGCTGGCATTAAATAGAATTCAGTCAGGTTAACTATACGCATGAAAAGAAAATTGTACCACTGTGTGGATGATTATGCATGCAACCCTCACAAAAAAGGTCAATTACTTATTGATCAGATTGGATGGCAGGGTCTCTAACTGTATATCCATTCACCCAGGGAGACTATATCATCGGGCACACTTTATAGCTAGATTGACAGACTTATTAGAAAGCCTTCTAAAGATTGGTATCCATCCATAATATCAGGTAGCAACTTCGTGCATTTAATTACAGTTACGTCTCAGTTCATTTTCAAATGACTAACAGACAGCTGAATTCAGAACCGTGTAGTCAACCAGTCAGAAGTGAAGCGGATGCCAAGTGAAGACCCTGGTGAGATAGTCACGTTATATCGCAAATTGACAGAAGTAGGAAGTTGTGGACCACTGAATTCCGACCCAGTGGCTGAACGGTTAACGCGCTGCCAGTGAGTTCGATTCCTGGTGAGGAGGAGGGGGGTTGGTCCGAACTGCTGATGAATCCCACACCAGATTGGAACAGATGTCCAGTGCAATCCAAGCGGTCAGTCCGTGACAAATACTATCTTAAAATTCATAACTGTTAAGTAGATCAAATGACCACAGACCCATTCAGTTATTTTATTGTATATTAAACAGCTGCGTATATATATATATATATATATATATATATATATATATATATATATATATATATAATGCTATCATAAATATTCTAAGCAAAAGTCCAGGTGTACAAAAATCAATTTGATCACAAGATTATTCTTTAAATAATAGCAGAGACAAGAAGCGCAACCGGTAGAAAATTATAAAGTAAGAACCGAAAGCACGGAAAGACAAAGTACGTACACACAAAGACAGGAAAGAAATCAAGGTAGCAACCAGTTACACATGTCTGTATGCTTGCAATCATCACGAGAGACAAATAGAATAATGGCACAGAAAATATATATGTATGTGTCTGTCTGTATATCAATTGATTGGAAAGAAGACGAGAATAGTAATAACCACACATCGTGTTATTTTATCTATTGCCAAATTGACAGTTCCTTTTCATAAATCCCTTGATCGTCATAATACAACCTGGATATATTGTCAATGGCTATACGACCACATCGAATACAATCATCAGCGATAATTTCATCGAATATATCCTGGAAAAATTGTCAGTTAATCGATTATGAGAGCAGTAAAACTGTGGGCACAGTAATAAAATCAAAATGTCTAGATAGCATCTACTAACCTTTATATTTTAATTTCTACGGTCTATAGTGTTTCACTTACACACTGTCCGTGTAGTACGTAATCAATCACAGACAAAAGAACTTTGCTTACATTTAGCTGCTTCATGGAGTAATATCGGTGTAGCCTCTGACGTGAGAGCAACGTTTCGTGATTGGTCTTTAGGACGAGTCCATCAGCGTACAAAAACGATTATATAACCGGTGCGAGCAAGCAGATATGTCAAGGACAGAATGAAGAGGATGATTCCTTTCACCATTTGCTTTTTCATGGGTACAGTTTGATGATCGACGGCACACCATGTAACAGATGAAGCCTGCTTGAACCTTGGGCTACCAAATTTATCCACCGAACATTTTTCATCAAATTCTTTCCTTTCAATATGTTTTAATCATTCAAATGCCCTTTGGATGTATCATATGCTCTTGCACATTTTTAATCTGTTCCCAACTCTCAGTTTCTCGAGTCAATAACAAAGCAGAGAAAAAATGTTACGTGATATGGAAATGAACTTTTGGGTGCAAGAAGGTACATCATATTTTTATCCGTCAGATGCTTAGCTTGAGTTGCAGATTTTTGTACCGTCTGAATGAACTGCCATCACCAAAAGTACGCTTGCATTTCCGTTGATTCTTCATTATGGATCTGATGGCCATCCAGAACCAGTTGGATATTTTACATCATTGCCTTAAATACTGTTATTATTGGCATCATTCCGATGCAATAACAGTTTTGTCTGAAACTACTGTTCTGGGACTGAATTTGTTGGAAAATTACACACTGAGAATTCCATAAAGCGATTATTATTATTATTATTATTATTATTATTATTATTATTATTATTATTATTATTACTAGTGCCAGTATCCGTAAATTTGTGTTCTGAACTGGCCGAAGGCATATATTTCAATTCAGGGGCTACGAAGGCAACTGTTGTTGAGGTGTGAGAGGCCCAACATCCACTCCCAAGCACATGGGGCCTCCGTTTACGGCATAAAGCTGGTTTGCAATATGCTATAGTGGTTGGAAGTTAACTTTGAATACTCGAAGGAATAGCTCAATTTCAGGGGTTTCATGTGCTCAGTGACCACCGAGCAGGTATCTGGTATGTTCAGTGTAATCCTTTACTTTTTATCCACCTCAATGTTGAGTGAAGTTAACTTCTGAACACTAATTTGCAACGCAGCTGTTCCTGATGTAGATTATGAAAGATAGAGTTCCTCTTGTAGGTTATACGTACTATCTGTAATAAGCATATGTAAATTAATCCATTTATAAATCGCCTAGATGAAATTTCACGTGTAGGTTGCACAGTTTTACGACCTCGCCAATCATCATCATGAACAGTTGGGGGGGGGGGGGGGGAAGGAAATAGAGATTCACCTTGACGGACGCCCCTTTTAACATCCGAGGTAGTGTCATTAGTGTTGATGATGAGCTGCTCTATAGGATAACTATATGTAGGATACTAAGGGTTCTGGTGTACCTGACATAAAAGCAACAGGCCCAAGCAATATTCAGGCTTTAGCAACTTAAATTATGTACACTGCTAGTGGTTTCTTCTCGTGACGAACAGGCTTCAAAACTATATTCAAGTCATGCTGATTGCTAAGTAACCATTCCTCTGCAAAAATAAGAACCAGAAAGGGCTTAACGGAAGTCCTGTAGTTCATCTTCTAGTGAGAATTTTGTTTACAAACCGGACAACCAATGAGGAGACCGGTATCGGTCTATCATCTGAACTCAGTGGGTTACCTGCCTTTGGTATCTAAATAAACCGAGACTGTCAGTGCATCTCAGATGATGTAATTTGAACCCACTCAGCCAACTACGTCATCGGCCATTCCAAGAAGGAGTGGTTTGATTTCCTTGCTGTCAATCGGCTGTACTCAGTGCCAGCGTACAAATGATTCTGGTGTTACTTACCTCTAATCATTTGCACTTTTTTAGAGACTACATTGCCCCAACAGTTTCTATGATAATCGGACATCGTTAGACATTCCTACAATCACCAGATAATCATCTCAAACGATTCCCTTCCCAAATTTCTAAAATCTGGGATCCTTACGCAAAGTTGTTGATAAAGGTCCTTTTCTGCATACAGTCAAACCAAAGCTCTAAAACTGCTACCAAAAGGTGTTTATCATCACTGAATGTGACCAGGTCATCATTATAAATTCCATTCAGCTGAACGCCTCGCCGTTGAATTCACTGGACCAGTTATTTAATATTAGATTTGTTTATTTGATGCACAATACGGTGATATAGCTACATAAAACAGACTAATCTAATATGGAATTACAAACTAACACGGTGCCTAAATTCAACACCAATATCCTAAGATGCGTTCTATTTATTGCGGTCTCGCACTTCTGCTCGCGTTCAAGGAACGGCCGCAGTAGCTACAGCGCCAACTAGCGAATTTGTTTACATTCGTCATCATCGCATGAGAACACCATAAGTTCCCTGTTATCCTGTTGGTAGTCGGCATCACTTTCTCATGTGTCTTCTGTTCATAGTTGGCTAAAAACAGTCAAAAGCTAGAAAAGATAAAACGGGTGTAATGCTACGGCTTGGATGAAAGGCAGGTATATAGCTTACTACCACCGTTAGATGTCGCATACGCGCACGTGTATGTATACTGTGCTATAGACCTTAGAAAATCTGATAACTAGGAGCTATGAGAATACCATAATGGCATCTGAGAAGCTAGATATCCAGGAAAACCCAGTTAGTAGACGTCGGCATGACAAAGAGAATAGGGAACTTCAAATGTTAATTATGCGTCTTCTGTTTATGATCAGTGTGTGCTGCGTGGAAGAAATCAAACGACATATGCGCTTTCGAATAATGGTGCTTAATCACTGGGTCGAAATGTCGATGATCAAGTTCAGAAAAGAATCTGATTGCCTTCCACTGGGTCCACTACGAAGTCCACTATCGGAGCAACTAGGTTCAGCCAGAAATTCCGAAGCAGAAATCCAGTCGGTTTTCGCAGGCCAGTAATACAAAAAAGTCAATTGCAACGTAACAACTACCAAACCAAACGTTGAGCTATAAGCGTTACAGTCCTACAACTAAATCAGAGTCGTGATGACGCGGCCTTTGATTGGCTCAGGAGTGTCACGGTTAGATAATAAGTAGTTCAGTAATAATTGGCTAATTTTAAAATTTATCCTTGAACCCACCTCAAAACTAGTGATCGATACTGTATTTCCAGTATTCTCAGATTCTACAGCTTTGGACAATCGTAACTTTTGCTCTGGTGATAAATATGGTTTCACCTGAAGAAAAAAAATGCATAGAATATCTTTGAGTTTCAGTATATGCTCATAGGTTCTGTTTATTTTACTGAAAAAATAATTGTCAAGGTCTGTGATGGGTTCGTTTCAGTGTAAACATCCTTTAAAGTGACATCAACTTGGAAGTAACTGAAAGTCATCACCAAGTGAACCTAGAATAAATTATTACCATTCATTTATAAACTGCCTACACGCCGTAATATTACGTTCTTATAACAAGCAGTCGCTTTTTGAATTAACCAAGTGCTGCATGTTGACAGTACAATATTCATTCAACGGAAGACGATAAGTGATGAAACAGAGATTACGAATTGACTGTGAAAAAATGGAGTACCATTTCGAGAAATCAAATCAACCCTGATGGATCTGTCAGTAAACGAAGAAATTTCTGCGCAGATTCAAAAGGCTCAGCTGGCTTTCGCCAACTTACACCAACTGTGATAACGTTGCGATATCCGACTGCCTATTATAGATCCAGTGTACTGTGCTGCAGTTAGCTCTGTTCTACGCTATGGCTGTGAAACATGGCCGTTAAAGGTTGAGGATATGAGAAAGTTTCTAGCGTATGACAATCGTTGCCTTCCCAGTAAACACCACGCATCGTGGTATCACCAAGTGAGTAATCTTCAACGACTTAGCAGGGATATGTGTTATGCCTGCCTAGTCATCGTCCGTTTTGTTGCGCGATATTAATTAAAGTAGGCTAGGGGAGGCCACACCAAAACATAATATCAATACATGAAGTCTTTGTTAGTTTGAGCCGTGTTGGGAGATGCAGACTATTTGGTTGGCCATCCATGTACCAACAAAAACTAATGATGAGAGACTGTAGGTGATACAGTTCAGGATCGATGTCAGTGACGCAGATGTGTACACACTTTATCTTCATCTTAACCGCCATACTGAATCTAACACTGTCATTCCTGCGTCTTTTTTTATTGCTTTCTACTACTTTTGACTGGGTTTTCTCTCTTTCTTCATTTCTCATCTTATTGCCTTGTTATTTGTTGTACTGGCATGAAGTGTGGCATACTGGACGGTTGTGAGGTAATGCTTGGTCCTATGTTATTATTGATGAAAACTTTATTAGCTATCCACTAACCTCAATGAAGCTGGTGATTATTAAATATTTGCCATCTTAAGGTCACGTTATAGTGATCTTATCTTGATCATATTTTCGTACTGAAGTGACTGTTTTATTTTCTTCTGTTTCATTTCTAAAGTTTACATACTACTAGGTAACATAAACACTGAGAGAACGTGAAGTTTCAGTTTGAATAACAAGTCAGTTAATACGACAAAATAATGAATGAGTGAAGTGTCATCGTTTCTTACATGGTACCAACTATTCCTTATTACTATACTCATCCTGATATGGATAAGCCGTCATTAGCTGCTACTTTGACGTGGTGGTTGGGCTTGCATATCACAATGATCCAAAGAGTTACACTAGCTGGAATGCTTTTTCCCTCGAGGTCCTTACCATGCCAGAAGGATCTGTTGGATAGTGGCAAGACGAAAACAAGTTACCATTGTGGTGTAAATTACTACACTAAAACGGAGGTCTGAGGGCGAAGTTATATTGCTAGCTAGATAGGATGTGACAGGAGTAAAGTGTTTCCCTCGGGTGAGCAGCAGCACCATGTTGATGCTACCTTCCCGTTGGGAAGTGAAGAGGGTTAAAAACGTTGGTCCCGAAAATAACACACTTCACATTGCTCCACGGTCTACCGGTGTTGGTGGTACGGGTTTTCCCTACTCGACATTAGAACAATGAAACCTCATACCAACAAACACCCAATAAGCTGCATGTACAAGTCTCAAGCAGATGTCCTATGGGTTTTGAATTCACATAAATATTTTCGGGTGCCTCAAGAAGAATTAGTCATCCATGATATGAACAGTCGGGAAGTGCCAACCAACCACACGCTTCCAGTCTATATGTCTGATATGGATAAAAGAATCTTGTAGTTTTACCAGTGTGAAAACTACAATACTGGGTAGTTTACATACTAGATAATCACTTAATACATCACTAGGTGCAATGACTCCAAGATCTATTGAGCATTGAACATCTGTTTAGGCGTGGCTTGAGACTCAGAACTGCAAGTCGTTGACACTTTCCGAGATCGATTCACAGAACTTAAGAGTCTATGAAGAGAATATACACGCTTAAGTAAGGATTCAGGATCCAATAGTCTACATTTTTCAAGTTTAGTTTATTTAGTGATGAAATGCACAATTTTTGTTCATTGAACAACTAATTTGATTTCTACTGATTTTTAATATAATAACAGAATCCATTTCAACTCTTGTAGACAGAAAACAAGCAAAACATAAGTTGAGATTCGAAGATTTATTTCCAATTCTGAACGATGAACAAACTAACTTACTAATTCCGTGAGACAGTTGATATGAAAATTATGACCACACGGGAATAGATAGAAGGCACGTAAAGTCAGAAGATGATTACAATGGATGCATCGTGAATCATTCTGTACAATTTCACATCTGTAAATAATAGGGTAAGAAACAGAGAGTATACAACTTAGATGTTTACCGTACAATGAGATTTGAACAGAAAAAACAAAACAATGTAATATGTACAGCTCTTGACATTTAAACAAATGAAATAATGTATTGAGAATTGAGCTGATCATAGTACCACAACATAAATCTGAGTAGAAAACTAGATATACTAAAAGTAGCATAACTATGTTCCCCGATAATGTAATGCGTACGTGAAGAAAATGAAAACTGAATCAATCATTAACAAGGATCTCTACGAACAACTTCGCCCTTCTGATGGTATCACTCCACGTTTGTGTGGTTTGCCGAAAAAGCACCAAGATGGTGTTCCTCTCCGTCCAACACTGGATATGACACTCTCTATACCTCACAACTGCAAAATGGCTCGTGGAAATTCTTGAAACTGTAAATGGAATGGCTCCTGAGACACCGTGTTTCTGATACATTCGAGTTTGCTGAATCAATTAAGGATAACCTGTCCAGAAGAAGAAGGGCTTCATTAGACATCGAACGGTTGAAAGAAACAATCTGTTTCTTATGTGACTTCATTAAATCCGGAAATCTAGATGTTGAACCATATCCAGCTAGCGATTCACGTTGTCATGAGCATACAATATGCATGACACTGGTTAATGGTCGGAGATTTCATCGATTGGTGATATGTTTCAACCTGGCAATCCTTAATTTTTTTCAACCAAGCTGTCTTAAGGAAAGGGGGTAGTGACTAGGTATGTAAAGCACATCGCAGCCATCATTAGGTAATGCAGGTTCACAATCTCATTAGTTGACTTACCTCTTTTAACTAGAACTCTAGACTCAACCTCAACATTACTAATATTGTGGCTTAATAAACATGTCTGATGCTTTAAGAGGAAAATTAGTCCTAAACTGGAAATCCACATCCGTTTTGCAACTTTCGTGGTTACACATCACATCTGCAGAGTACAAGGCGGGATTTCGCACAGTAGCCTTGATTACTAGATATCGTAATAACACCACAACTGGTGCAAATTAGTAAAAGCCAGTCGAGCCTTTTGCATCCATGCCCAGATCCTGTCAGTCACAGACCCTCCATAGCTGATCAGATTTCCTAAGTAAAACAGTGACCAAAGGGCTCAATCACTTCACTTTTAGTCGTCAGATGAGGTGAGAATGCAAAATAATTCTGAAGCAAAAACATGCGTTTTGGAGGAAAAAAAAACACGTCCTAGACAATTTGGAATTTTCACCCGGAGTGTTCAGAAAACTTTGTATTGTTGGCATTATCTTCACTTTTAACAGTACTATATCATATATGTACTATAAGTCATCTTAGAGAGTCTTCTGCTAGTAAGTTAGTCCTTGTAAAGTAAGAAGAAGAGAAGGAAACTTTGATGAGCATGCGTATGAAAAAGTTGAACTAAAGTGAAAGAAAGAACATTGTGACTGACCGACGAAATTAACGTAGAACCCAGCACAGATGCATCGGCTCAAGTTGCAGGAAATCACTCGGTACAGAAAACTCAACTAATGCTTCATAGTAGGCTTTAACACGATCATGGGTATCTGATTATGATTTTAAAAAAACTGCAAACGCATTTCCTGCTTGTTTATCTCCTTTCTTGAAGGCTGAGATAATCGGCTATGAAGACAACTCAACAGGACTTTTGTGTGATTATGATACAGCAGCTAATAGTTTAGTTAATCGAATAAATAGACTTGGATAAATGTCCTGAAATACTTATGGTGCAAGTTCATAATAGTCTGTTGTGCATTAAGCATTTCAAGATATGTTAACTTTTTCAAAATGTACGAGGGCTGGATGTTCTTTATCAAATTTTTCATTCCGGTTGCAGCTGCATAGCATACAACTCAAGATTAGTTGGAACACAGTTGAACAGTTTCTCGATGTATTCTACCAAGCGTAATACTAACGCCGATCAACAATGTGCAACAAATATGGTTGTTTCACAACATGCTACTTCAGCTTCAGACTCCTATGGCTATCACTGCTCGAAAAAAAGATAGTTAATGAACTATCCACTAAGTCTTAATTTCGAGTCATTTTTCATCCTCAAACCTGTTGTATCCTGGTGTATATTTGACAGCATCTAAAACCGAAAAGTTAAATGGGCTGAAGAACGTAAGAATTAGGGATTAGTGATGTTCTGACATCTGTTAACTCAACAGAACCGAACATCTCTTCACACGCGCCAGTTAGCCTCAGGTGAGATACGTTTTACATCCCAAAATCACCCAAGTCAATGTAATCCCACTCACAAGTATATGTTACAAAGTTTTTTCATTATTTGCGTATGCTATTCACAAGCGAGCATACAACAGTTGACTGGTGACACTGAGACCGGTACTCTACCAACTGAGCTACGAGATCCTACTGTTGACCAGATTTTTGCTTCAGTTCAATCACTAAGGGTCTTTGCTCAACTACTATGTGAATTCTTGACGCGTTACTAGAGCTAGATCGTACTCATACTAGCTTCCCAGTCAGAACTTCTCATCCCAATCCAGATCCACTTGGATTAGAAAGGGGGAGCATCATATTGCTTACTAATGTAACTATCTGGGGTAGCCATGGTTTGGCAGACTTGTATTAATAGTGTGTGATGATCGACACGCTTGACACTTTCCAAGATAGTTCGTAAAAGCATGGAGCTGAAGACTAGGTGCACTAACGTTGAATCACAGCCAGAAATCCCAACTCAAGGAATCTATCATTGAGCGTGACTGTCCGTCAGAGTTATTAATAAGTATGTATCTGCTTTCTCTTTGCATAAGGTTTAAATCCAAAGCATTAAGTGATGATAACACCTCGTAAGCAGATCATTGGATAAGAAGAAGCTTTATTGTTGTTGATTATTCCTCGATACAATCACTTCGAAGATAGCCATAGGTTTCAAACCTATAAGGTTACAAGCTATTTTCAAGAAATTGTTGGGTTTGGTGTCACTCAGAAACCAGACAACAAAAAGCAAAATACCTTCTAAATTTGATAATCGACCAGCCTACAACAACACTGCGTATGTATTGAGTTATTAAGCAGCTTAGCACCAACATCTAGTACTTCAACTTGTTACGCTTACCAAAAGAGTAAAGAAGTATCAGAAGATGACAAGAAAACTACTGATGGAAAGTTAAAGAGTTCCGAAAAATACATCAAAAGATCGAAATTAAGCTCCTTTACAAATAACTAATAACCTTCACATCAATGATTTGGTCATTCTTCTAAACACTTAAACACATGGAAAGGTTCCCTACATGAGTCTTCATTTATTCCCATTACTGACTATTGTGAATCCTTTATTAATCTTATAACGAGGCGATTCTTGAACCAGAAGCCATCAATATATCCCGTAGCTGACCTCCCTCCTATGAGTTGGTGAACCTTAGTCAAGTGAGGAGGATTGCACATATACTGCGTGTGCCGAACTACCACCTACCTCGACAAGGCATGCTAGAGGAAGTTGGATTAAGTTGGAAGATAGTTCAGGTTGGCCAGACCAAGACGTAACACCAGTCCAAGAAGTCTCTGACTGTTGGTCTGAGTCGTGTAGGGAGATGTGGACTATCTAGCTGAGATGTACAGAAGGACAGAAATCGGTGGTTGTGGACTCTTGGTGACATGGCTGAAAACCAGTCACAGTGGCGAGAATGTATTCACTCTTTGACGTCTTCTATAACTTGAACATACGCACTAACCGTTATTCTCAAATTGTTTATTCTCTCACACAACTTTTTCTCCTTTGATATGACCCTTATTCTATCCACCTGGTCTTTGTATACTTCTGTGAAGTGCGGCAACTTGAACCGATGCACTTATGTACGAGGTTCTAGATTGATTCCGCCTGTCTGTCTAACTCCTTCATTGTAAACCGGCCTACACTTTATCTTGAAAGTGCTTATCTAGCCAACTTCAGTATGGAAAATAGGCTATAGAGGCAAAGGAGAACAAATGAGGCATTTCAAAGCGCTTATCGTAGTTTGCTTGCGACTAAACAAGCTTACAATGTCAAAAATGATGTATCCAATCATGCAATTTATTATCGTGATACTGTCATTGTTAAATTTACACTTTTTCTTTCATTTTACTATCGAAACCTCAGGTCTGTTTCTGGTCTTTTAGAATGAACAAAGAGTTGCTTTCATCCAACGAGATACGTGAACATTAATTTGAAATCGCGAGTAACGTCTATGCATATTACAGGTGGAACTAAAGAAGCTGATTCCATTCACACTAATGATCGTCTGTGTCTCGTTAACCTAAAAACGTTTCAAAAAGAATAAGAAGTGACAAGTAGGAGAATCAGTGTCATTTCGTCATTTTTACCTACACTATGACAAATTCCTGCACATACATAACACAAGGTCAATTACATAAATTACCTCCTTGGATAAGTTGGTAACACAGGCATCTAGGTTCAAAAGAGGGTAGTCTATACGACTAGCAGAGAAAAACTGTTTACGAGTTGGCAAGTGACGATCCAGCAGCCCATTTCAGCTCCACATTACCGATGTGTCATCCCAAAGTCAACTAAACATGAACTTAAACAGATCATATTGAAATCAGCTGTCCACGACGCAGGTACACATCATCATCAACATCAATATCAACATAGAACCAGGTAGACCTGAGTAATAGCCCGAGCTGCCACACCGCATATCAGTACATCAATAAAAGGAAGTGAGCCGAAGGATAAAGATAAGAGAATAAAGTCAAAAGAAATATCAAGTACGAGAAGAAAGAAAAGAGGAGTGACAAATGGTGAGATTCCGTAAAGTGTCGTTAAGATGAGGATAAAGTGTGTATACATCTGCTTACGAAAGGTCTGCACAACGATCGCGAACAGTGATGGGCAGCGAAGGCTAAAGTAATGGGAAAGGTAGCGGCGATCGGTAACAGTAGACAGTTATTCAGATTTATTAAGGAAACTGGGGGGAAAAGATCAACAACAGTTAGTGAGGCTATAGAGGAGGAGGACGGATCT